CATTAGTTTCATATTTCCTCTCAAATTCCTCTTACATCACTATATATATATTTTTTCCATAGGGATTTCTCGACCTAGACAACAATGTAATATTGGCTCAATCCCAATTTTGATCAAAAGGCAAAGAAAAGCAATACAATTTTCTCTCCATTGCACTCAATCATTGCTATTTTTTTGTTGGATTTTCCATTGTCATTCGAAATTGCAAGGGATTTTTTTCCTTCTTCCACTTAGATTTATTATCTGAAATTGCTAGAAACAATGATTACATTAATCATAAAGATAGATCTGAAATCTATAAACGAGAAAACCGGAGAGCACGAGCAATAAAACTAAAACAACAAACCGTGGAGAACATATTTAATTGATGTAGAGATGCTAGCTTGCTTGGCTTCTTGTTGGAGTGAAATAGCGAAAAACTTGGGCTTTACAGCAAGGACAAATTGCAGAGTTCATATCTCAACCTTCAGATGATGGAACACTATCTTTTCATGGCAAAAATTTAAGTACTCAAACATATATTATTTAATTTGAGAATATTTTAGCTTATGAAATATACATGTTAAAATAATTCTTATTAATTTGGAATTATATATACTACTAATATTCATTGATGGTATTTATTGATCTTAAAATATCTAAATAAGATCATAATTTGAAATTAAATTTTTAAGAAAATCAAAATCAATTGATTAATAGAAGAATTATTTAAATAATAATTGTTGTAAAATAAAGAAAGAATAAATTAGAAGAAGAGGAAAAATTAGAGAGATAAAGTGAGGCAATGCAAAGATATATTATATTTTTATTCCTTCTTCATATATTTCCATCTTCATTTGCAAGAGTACAAGCCCTACATATAGGGGCTAATAGGGGATAAGAGTTATAAGGAATTAACACCCACTAAATGAGAGGTTACAAGGATTAATCTCCTACTAATGGAGGGGTTACAAGAAATCACATTATATCATCTAAATGCATGACATTATGGGGGTGTTAATCACCATTGTAATTGCAAGGAGGTAGTGGAAGTTATACCATTATTTGGTGTGTAAATGCAATGGAAAGTGGGCAGGTGAAGGGATGAAGAAGGTGAAACATCCACAATGAATTGATTCATAACACGCCCCCTTGGATATTCACTTTTATTATATGCTTGTTAAACTACCTCATTAAAACCTTGCTAGGAAAAAACCCAATGGGAAAAAAAATACCATGGCAAAGATGAATTGATTCATAACATGCCCCCTTGGATATTTAGCTTTTATTATACGCTTGTTAAACTACCTCATTAAAAACCTTGCCAAGAAAAAACCCAGTGGGAAAAAAAATACTATGGCGAAGGGAAAAATAGTACAGTGTGTATAATACTCCCTCTAAATTCAATGTATATTCATGATTGGGAAACTTATGCTACTCTAGTGTCTTAGCTGCTTAACGTTCTAGAAGCTAATAATTTTGTAAAGAGAATTTATTGGCTTTTCACTTGAATAAATTTAACAGACACTATTTCATTATATATTTGGAATACTGATCCAACAACATCACGTAATTGCCGTGATTTTAATTCTACTTGGATCATCTCTTTTCATATTGGGCAATCATTTCTTCATCGAAAATTTTGAATGAATTGGATCCAAGATCCTTATTTTCATTGACAATATCCATCACTATTGCATATGCAAGAATTTCTTATCAATAAAGATTTCATTTTAGTTCCATCCTTTGTTTAGGAAAACTATAGAGATCTTATCATTGGATATAATTTCAACATTCTCATTGTTTGCAGGTACCTAAACCCTTCCTTAGGGTTATTTCCTCAAAAACTCTTCAAGAGTTTTAGGATTTTAGCAATACTAACATTATGCTTATGTTTTCTCTTCATTCTTGGGTTTTTATCCTTAGAACCATTCGTTCTAACAAGCTTCTAGTGTATACTCATTTTC